TTAACTTTCAAATAGTACGGTCTTAAACTTTATTAGAAATTCGAGAGTAACTTAGGATATATATTTTCCTTTAGAAAAGGTAGTATATAAGCTAGTCTATAAGTTCTTATTATTTACCTATAGAGTAGTAAATTACGAGTAGTATACTATAGCAAGTTATACTTATACTTATTAAATAGTATCTAAGTAATAAATAAGTTATTTAAAATCCCCTTAGTAAATCTGGAATAAGTTAATAATATAAGTACGGAACTTATATTTGAAAATAGTAGTTTATAAGTATTATATTCTATATTTCAGTTATACTCTAATATAACCTCTAGGGCTATCCTAGATACCCGACTTATCTTTAAAATCAAATAAGGGTCTCTAATTATATCTATATTTGTAATAGAGAATAAACTCAAGAAATAGGCCAAAATTATTCTCCTAAAATTAGAGGATTTAGTATAAAAGGTTACTGAAATAGAAAGGAAAAGAATTAGAGTAAATATTATATTTATAGCTAGAAATACTAGGTAAATAATGAAATTTCATTTATATTCATATCTAACCTCTATAATCTTTTAGTAATACTTATTATTAGGTAATAAATTTGGTATAAAACTATAGTACTATATTATTTAAAGCAAGTATTAGACTATTAAAGATTAGAGTATAAAAGATTTCGTCTAAAGTACTAGTTAATTCTCCTATTATCTTATAGAATAGTAATACTAAAAAATTCGAATTAAAGTTACCGTTTATTAATATACTTATAGAATAATAGAATAATAGTACTAAAAAGTATAAATTAAAATCGCTATCTATAATAATATTCTTATTAATATTATAGGATAGCTATAAGAAAATATAAATTTTACTAGAAGATTTAATAACTTTTTATAATAGATATAAGAATATAATAATAAAATATATAAGGAGGATTTATATTAAGAATATCTTTATTTATAGCTTTATTCACGTTATTAAATATTATTTTGGCTTTCTTTAGAGCTCTTAATACTTCTAAGCTATTATTTACTACTTGTACTCGTTTTTTAATCTAATCCTAAAGGCTTTTAGATAAAGATTTATTATTTATAAGTATTTAATCTAGCTTCTTAGAGGCATATCTATATAGCTCTTTATATTTCCCCTTCATATAAATATCCTTTAGCTTATTATTTAGATCTCTGGCTTTATATTTATATATAATATATAAACGAGTATATATAAAAATTCTTTTATAAAAAGTATATATTTCGCGGTATTAAATATTTATACTTATTAGTAACCCACTAGTTAACTAAATGAAATACTTATATATTATAAAGTATTATAGAAGATTTTTTTATATCTTAAAAGCTTTAATTTTCTTATATTCTTTATAAGAATATTAAAATACTACGGATTTATTCGAATTCCTTATTTTAATCCGGTAGTTCTTACTATTTTCTTTATTAGAACTATTATTATTATTATTATTATTATTATTATTATTATTATTATTATTATTATTATTATTATTATTATTATTATTATTATTATTATTATTATTATTATTATTATTATTATTATTATTATTATTATTATTATTATTATTATTATTATTATTATTATTATTATTATTATTATTATTATTATTATTATTATTATTATTATTATTATTATTATTATTATAGTATTTATTATTAAGTATAATTAAGTATATTTAATATTTCTCTAATTTTACTAGTAATTACTATTCTTGAAACTTGAAATATATATTAATATAATAACTAGAGACTATAGTATACTAACCCGATATCCCTTAATATAAATATATAACTACTAGTTTATTAGAAGGCAAATGAAATAAGTCTAATATTATTATTAGTTATTAAACTTATATAATATATTCTCTTTAATTCTAGAAATTAGCCTATATTAGTAAAGCAAACTAGAAATAAAATAAAGAGTTAGATAGTATTTAACTATATAGCTAATTGATATATATATAAGCCGTTTTATTTAATTATATATAATTAGCTATAGCCTTATATAGCGGAATATATAGAAATATAATTACCCGATATTCTTTTAAGAGCTTTTTACTTTACTATTAAACTAATAAGTATTTCTTGCTTAGTAACTTAAAGGAACTTTACTAACTTTACCTGCTATTAATTCATTTCTATTAACTATTTTCTTTTTTAAAAATAAAATATACTAATATATTTAACTTATAGTAGAGATAGTATTATAAGGGGTTTTATTTACTCTAATTACTAGAGAAAAGGTTAGCAACCCGCAGCTATAGCCAGTCTTCCTTATAATAGCCCTCTAGTATATAAAATATAAGCTAAATATAATTTAATAAGCCAGGTAAAAGTATTTCAAGTTTCTATATTCTTAATTCTAATAATATAATAGAATTATTATAGAAAAAGGTATTATTTCAACTTTATTAATATATTATAATATCTATTATAATTAATATCTTATTTTAATAAATATTAATAAGAGTAGAAAGAATTAGAGAAGTATATAGTTTATTAGTTAGTAAATAATTAATATCTCGAAATTAATTTATTTATTTAAGTATATCTTTTAGTATAATTCACGTTATTTCTTATATGATTTTATAAATAATTATTTTAATAAGTATATATAGGAAGACGACTTATTAATAGGATATTAATAAAGGGGGTTACGGAAGCCTAAAGGCTAGTATAAATATATAAAATGAGTTATATAAAACAGAGTTATATATGTCCCGTATATAAGCTTAGTAAGGTTAGAGAAATATATTTTAGAATAAAGATCTATTTATATAATATCTAATATTTTAGTTAATCTATTTAGTTCTTAAATCTATTAAAATAATTCCTTATATAAGATTATATATAATATACTTCTATTAACTTTACTAATAATTATATTTAAGTATTTATTTATACTAGTATATAATAAGAAATTAATAGTATAATTAATATCCTTAATTATATTATCTCTATATCTAGACTAATTTATAGGCTTATAATTATATAGTAATATATCTAGTATATTAGCTAGATGCGTTTATATTATTAGCTTTAATTTCTGCTATCTAATACTAGCTATATATTTATATAGGTTTAGGTTATAATTTCGTGTTTTTAGTAAATAGAAATTACGGTTTCATAATTCAATTCTCTCGCTTCTATTATATAACTATAACAGATAACTTAGGATTAAAATTCTAGTTAGACTAGTTAGAGAATAACTAGTTAATCTCGTATATACTCAAGAAATAGTATTAGCTAGCCCTGAATCTATACTAGATTAGATTATAATTCCGTAATTCCTCTAGTTATATTCTAGTTAGTACTATATATTTAGGTTATAGCTTATACTTCTTATAAATATAAACTTAGCCTCTTTCTAATAGTAAATATATATTAATATATTACTTCCCTTATATTACTATAGGGTATCTTCTAATACTATCCTATAGATATATGCTTCTTTCCTGCCTTAACTATATAAAGATACTATATAAAAAGAAGTTAATTAGTAGGATTTAGGGTTCTACTTATAAGCTATAAAAGATATTAATAAAACTTTATTAATACTTTATTTTAATATATTATTTTCTCTTATATTATTCATATAATAGAGCTAATAAAGCTATTATAATTATCTAAAGGCGTGTATTATACCTTAATTATAGGCTATAAGCTACCTCAGAAATAAAGATCTATATATAAGCTTTAATACTTTATAATATTGCCTTAACTAATTAGAAGTACTAATAATAGAAATAATACTATATAGAGATATTCTATTTTTGGGAACTATAGAATTAATATACTATAAACTCTTCTAATAATATTTTACTTTTCTTATATTACTATATAAAGAATTAGTAAAGCTATCTTAATTATTAAGGCACTAATATACTATACTACATTTATAGGCTATAAGTATATTTGAGGGTAATTAGCTTCCTTTATTAGAAGTCTGGATATTAGTATAAATAAATATATAATAGTAGAACTCCTAAGTTTTCGTATTATTACTTTTTATATTCTTAGTATCTAGTTCTTTAATAACTTTTCCAAATCTTCTTACCTAATATATATCTTATCTATTATATATATAAAGTAATCTATTATTTATCTAAAAATATCCTATTATTATCTTATAGAATAAGAAAATAGTAAAATATATTAAGAATATTTCCTTACTAATTCAATTATTCTCGGATACTCAAGCCTCAATCCTAAACTTCTTATTCCCAGGCTTTACCTATATATCTGCTATTATCTAAAGATATCTTACTATTAACTTAAATATCTATATTCCTTTACTATATTTCTTTAGATTAATTATATTTAGTTACAGATATATTTATAAGTATTTATAGGAACTACTTGAGACTTATTATAGTAAGAACTCTCTCTATTTAAATAAGAGAACTCACTTTCTAATAATAAGTAGCTTTAATTATTTATTTTTAATATTATAAAAATATATATAATATACTTCTATTATAAATATCTTTTTAAAGCTTTAACTAGAATACTTACTTCTCTCTTATTACTACTAACTTGGCCTCTTTATTAAACCGCTCGAGAAATAATCCTTTAAATAATAGAGATATAAATAAAAAAACTCTATATTATATATTTTAGAATAAATGCTTTTTTATATAGTATAAGGGCTATTGGCTTATATTCTGGTATTAATATTAAACTAGAGATTTTAGTAGCTAAAAAGAGGTCTCTATTTCCTATTTAGATAGATCTCTATAAATTCTTAAGGAACTACTCTCTAAATACCACACCGAGTATATAAAGCTTATTTAGAGTAAAACCTGGCTTTATAAGCCATAATAAGATAGTATTTAAAGAAAGTCTATAGTATTAAAAATAAGACATATCTTAATAGTTATTTTTAATAAGAGTAGGAAAAAAAAGCTACTAGAAAATATTAGGGAGTTTCTTAACCTAGTATTCTAATAATAGTATTCCGATTATAATAGTCCCTACTAATAGGGTTACTTGCTATATAGATTCCCTGAAACTAGAAAGTCGAGTTTGAACTCGGCTATTACTAGTTATTTTGGTTTGAATATCTATATTCTTAAGCTTTCTACTATTAGTAAAGCTAGCCTAAAAAGCCTATTTAATAAGCTTCCAAGTTACTATATTATTCTTTTAGAAGACATTAATGCCATTAGTTTAAATCGAGATACTAAAACCGAAAACTCTTACCAGATTATAACTAGCTCTCTCTCTAAAATAAGTAAATCTACTAATAAAAAAGTATCTTTATTTACTCTCTTAAATATTATTAATAGTATAGGGTTATAAAAAGGCCGGATCCTAATTATAACTACTAATTATATTATATGCCTTAATAAAGCACTTATATAACCTAGCTATATAAACAAGAAAGTCGAGCTTAGACTCGCTAATAAAAAATAATGGCTAATATCTTCTATCTTGTCTTTAAGCTAGTAGAAGGCAATATTACTTTTATAGAAGGCACTACTTTTCCAGAAAATGCTTAATTAGAAGAGAATAGAAAAGTTTATAAAACTATAGTAAGTTAGAGGAAAGAGGCTAAGAGAGTTAAGTAGTTAGCAAAAGGGTTTGCTATTAAGGTACCGGAGTTAAAATTCAGTCTAACTAAAATTTTCTTGTTTTTTCTAGAATATAGGAAATTACTAGAGGAAGCCATTAATAATATAGAGCAACTTATCTCGAAGCCTATTAGAGTAAAGTCGAAGCTGCCGAGGATATCCGAAGATACTAAGCCTGAAAATACTTAGTTAGTATATATCTAATAAAATATAAATAAAACTTTACTAATAATTCATTTAGGTGAGATAAAGAATCTTTAATAACGAAAGTCTTAACCGAGATAATTCAAACCTCCTTACCCTTTGTACTATTAAGCAGCCCGAATCTATTACTCTCCAAGTGCTTTAATACCTCGAGCGCCTCTGGTTATACCTACTATACCTGCTTTCATATACTCCCCGAGGATGCTTTAGAGGCGACCTCAACCGAGCCCTATTTACTAACTCCCGGTCTTGCATTTCCGACAAACTAGTTATTAGTATAGGTTGTGACTACCAAGTATATCTAATAGTTCTTGGATATTCTCAAGTCTCTTAGTACTTAATAGGGATCTTTACTAAAATCGCCAGACTTAGTTAAGGCAGCTAAAGGTACGAAAACTAATACTCAAGAATAGCCTGAGATAATTCCAGCTTCTAAGCTAGAATTCAAGATAGTAAATAAAGTATATATCTCTAATAAAGTAATTAGACTCTGGCTAATAATTTATTTAGGTAGGATAAGAAAGAGTCTGAATATAAGATTCAGGAATCTTTAGTAGTAAAAGTAAATATACTAGATAAATACGTATTTATTATATATATAGAGAGTAGTAAATAGTACTTACCTTTAAATATATTTCTATATTAATAAGCTTTTAGATAGGTATACCAAAGACCCGACCTTCTATATTAATATTAAATCAAACGAGCTCCGAGATATCTTAAGAGAAGTTCTAAAGAATATTTATAGTATAAGTTTAATAGAAAAAAAGCTAATAGTAAGTCTTTTCTTATAGGAATTAACTTTCTACTAAGCCAGGTATAGGTCAAATAACATCTCCTATACTACTACTTTCCCGAACTTGAATTATATTAAAGTACCCTTTATACGGATATAATACCCAAAAAGCACCTCGATTTATTAATTAACTATATAAAGAAGATCTATACTCCCATAACCGAGTATCTCCTTTCTCTCTTATAGTATGGTAAGATTATATAGGATCTACTTTGGGCCCTCTTTAAGCCAAATACCCCGGTTTATACTACTTGTTTCGGTATAAAAAAACCGTAATATATCATATATAATTCTTTTAAAGAGAAGATTAATAGGGCAAAAAAGAAGTATTTTAATATAGACTGCCAATTTTTCGACTTTAATAGTAAAATATTAGGCAAGGCCTCTACCGAGCTAGTTATTCCGAAATTCCGGGGGACGAAGCATATTAATACCCTGCCGGCTTTCCCTCTCAAGTACTATCTAGACGAGAAACAGGTCAAGTCTGACCTCATTAAATATGGTCGAAAGTTTATCTGCCTAATCGGGACTTACTATTATTATTATTAGGGTAAAGTATTTCTAATATACCGGGGAGAACTGGCAAGATTTTCCGTTAATAGTCGGGTTATAATTAATACCGATTTCTTCTGGAAAATGAATCCAAACTATTCCCGGCTATATACCGACCTAGCTAGGACGAGGCTAGGAAATAGCCCATTAGTAGTATATATAGGCGGGCTACTACTGCCGCTCCCAGGATAGCTACTTTATAACTAAGTCAAGAATAATAATATTAAACTAGAGGATCTAATAGAGGGCGATTTCCTTATTTATTATCCGATAGTACTCGGTTTTAGTTTTGGCGACAAGCTATAGGGTAAGTTCTTCTCTCTCTTATATTATAATATATATTTGACTAATTTTTAATATATAGCAGAATTTGCTATTACTAATATTAAAGATATTAAATAGTTACCCTTGCTTTATACTTATCTATTAATACCTAATAAGCAAAAAGATATTATTATGGCTCTTATTAAGGCTTGCCTTAACCCTAGTATAGTATTTAATGACTTTGTTATAGGAAAGGGAAAGGGTCTTAATATACTCTTATAATAGGGCTTTATACTATTTCTTTTCGCGTAATAAACTAATATATAAAAGTGGCCCACCAGGAGTCGGGAAAACTTTTATAATAGAAGCAGTATCTGAGTACCTAAAGAGGCTTTTCTATTTAATAGGTTTTTCTGTTTTATATCCTATAAAGCATAAGTCTAATTAACTAGATCTCTATTAGGGAATTACTTTGCGATATAATAGAACTCGAAGACCGGCTCTCTCGAATCTTTAAGACTACTAGCTATTCGAATATAATTTTTCTTCTGGACAAAGCAGATGTCTTTCTTGAAAGGCATATACTTAATAATTTGACTCGTAATAGCCTTGTCTCTATATTTCTCCGCAAATTAGAATACTATAAGGGAATACTATTCCTAATAATAAACCGGATAATATAGTTTAATAAAGCGATTCTGAGCCAAATCCATATCCTACTGAGATATAAAGGCTTAAATAAAGTCGTAAGGAGGCAAGTCTGGAGGAACTTCCTTTCTCGGGCAGCCACTTCTTCCGGAGATACAGACATTATAGATAAAGAGCTAGAAGAATTAGCCATCCACGAGTTAAAAGGCCGGCAGGTAAGCTACCTTCCGAATCCCTAGCCTTCGTTTTACTAATATCCTTTTCAGATAAAGAATATCATATTCGTAGCTCAGGCTTTTGCGAGAAAGGAGAGGTGCAAGATAGGACTTCCATATGCAAGGAAGGCTATAGAAGCAAATGAGAAGTTTTTTCAGGAGTTTTATAGAACAGAGGCTCTCAGGTCTATATACTAATCTGAAGGATATTTGAAAATGGGCTCGGAAAGTCCGCTAGCTTACAAATATGGGTCATTTCATTAGGTTTCGATTACTTTCAGGTAATAATTTATATTAAGGAATCGGAATATATACTAAATCTAACGACGTATTTCTTATATTTATACCCTATATTATGGTCTTGGTCTTGGTTATCTACTGCAAGCTTGCGCCTCGTAGTTAGACCCATACTTAAAAGTATACGTTCTAAGTATATAGATAAGTACTAGTCTCTATCTAACTTTCTATTATATACCTTTGAGAATAGACTACAAAACCATAACCTCAGACCACTATGGCCGACCGCAATACGTTAGTTCACCGTTCTAGTAGGGATTAATAAGTATCCCTTCTATCTTGAAGAGTAATAGCTTTGCGTATGCTCGCCGTTCTCTCGTACTGTACTTATGGACGGCTTTAAGGAGACTTACGAACGGGTCGTACTACTCCTAGAGGTGGACGTCAAGACCTTTTAGGCTTTTGAGGAATGGCTATCTAAGCTCAAGCTATCCAAGTTCAAAGAGTTGGACTTGCTATTCGATTATGAGTCACCGGTATTCGAGGACCTGGATTGGCCATTGCTCTACAAGTTCTTCTTTCTTACGGACTATCTTCAGGCGTCGTGGGCTCAAAAACCGCTTCTTCAGGCTCTAGCCTCCAAACGGGACAAGAATCGAGTCATACCACTTTTACTTATACTAGCTATATACGAAAATACCCTGCCAGGTTCACCTCTGCGACGATTATGGATCGGTTAGGTTATATAATACACAATACCTAAGATTTTTGAAGGCGATGACTGGGTTTTTCCCGAGGAGTTTCTACGTGAATTGGCCGCGGCCCAAGTTCGACATATACAGAAGCTTGCTGAGGAGCTGAAGCGAGCTCGGGGGATAGCAGATTCAGCTATGATGAGATGATGAAAGCAGGGCATGCAGAGGGCCTTCTGAGGAGGGCCAGTCTCCGCCACCAAAGAGGTCCTAGTTAGGCCCCCTTTGGTAAGATGTGGCCCCCAAGACAGATCCAAATCGACAGGCACCCTCCAAATCAGACATCCTCCAAATCAGACATCCTCCAAATCAGACATCCTCCAAATCAGACATCCTCCAAATCAGACATCCTCCAAATCAGACATCCTCCAAATCAGACATCCTCCAAATCAGACATCCTCCAAATCAGACATCCTCCAAATCAGACATCCTCCAAATCAGACACTCCCCTAATCAAGCGACGGTATACTGTATCCAGTTGTTCAGGCTATAGGCGACGTGATTACTTCATCCTGTGGGGACTAGTGTTGCTTGGGTAAAGTCGAGGTCGAGGTCAAACATGGGATGAGAGCATATGCAAGTTCATGACGAAACTAGGTGGGAGAAGTCGGTGAAGCCGCGACGAAGCTGACAATGCCTGTAACTTTTCGTCTAACAATTTCTTAGCCCTCTTCCTCTCCTTTCTGGTTCCATCCCTCTCGGCCAGTATAAGTTCCCGTGATTCTTACGTGCATCTCAAGCACTCGCCTCTCTGTTCCCCTTCCTCCATAACTACCATGGTCGTCGTCCCACAGACGCGTCGAATACATATACGCAAATTTTTGAAAGGGGGATAAGCACATAGCCGAGTTCCGCGCTGGCAATGTTAGCGCGGTTATCGGTGGCTTTTGGAGTAATGGAGATTAGAAGAAGACCTAGCTAGCCCAGATACCGGAGCACTAGTCTCTTAACATGCCTCGTAGAATTCAAAGAATGAAATTTTCAATTCCGATTTCTTTCAGTACGGTATATTGGGAAGCTTATAGGTGCAAAATCATCCGCTTTATCCTTCTCGCCCAAGAACAGAAAACAAGTAAAACTCCAAAACAAAAAAAAAAAGGTCGTGCTTAGTAAAACAAATTCATTGGCTCCGTGCTGGCGCATCTATTTCGCAGTAGAAGGGTTTCTCGGCCAACCGCGCATAAACCTCAACCGCGCACCCCTTCCCCCACCAAAAAAAACGACTCTTGAGAATTGACAAGAAGCCTACTAAACCTCCGCGGATAGACAATTTAGTACCGGGAATTTCAAATATAGGCTCAGAATCCTCATTGCGTGGTGCTGTAGTTAGCAAATCCTAGATTGCTTCTAAGTGCGCAGTTGAGGTCGGTGCGCGGTTGGCCGAGAAACCCTTCTATATTCATTTTGCAGGTGTGATAGACGCCGGATGGGGATGATAATATGCTCTAGAAGCGCCATCGAGGCTTAAGATGTGATCCATCACGAAGCGACGAAAAGGCAAGTGCAGGTGGTTCTCGGGACTTCAGACTGTAATCTTACAATTTCCGGAGGGAGGCGCAGGGCTCGTGGCTGATGGTTGGTGGCTGAGTGCTGACTGCCATGTGTAACCAGCTAGGCTCCAAGGCGATCCCTAAAGAGACCGCCAAAGCAATTAGGGATCTTAGAGCATTTGCATCGCAAATCATGGATCATTTACCGCCTATTACCAAAAGCAACGGCACTTCACGTTATGTGCCTTTGCTATGCTCCGTTGGCGATTTTGATTCGGGAGAGTTCGCTACTTTCCCTGACCGCCTAGGGTGGGCTGTGTCCCGAGACCGAATGGGAAACTTCATCCTGACTAGAGATGGCGTTCATAGTCAAGACCTCCCAGCAAAATTGGCACTGGTACAGGCATGGCTGTTCTTTGGCTTGTTGCAGGAGACTTTCTCTACATGTGGAGTTGAAGTCCTGCCTGACAATTTCGTGCGCCAAGAGCATGATGGGACATCCGTGATATCGACTACATGCTTGCCTGCATACATTGAAAAGCTGCGCGCTTGCAGTCTCTGGACAATACAGAGTGGGCAGCGAGTGATTGAGAGGATATTACATTGTTTCAGAACGGGATCACACTTCATCCAGCACGAAAACACGATCTCGGGTGTGGGTGGAAAGTACTTGACGTCTGTTGACTCGTTGATCCTATCTATCCAAATCCTTGGCGAGACACTTGAACATGCTCTCAAGATGATTTGGACTACCGCAGGGCTTACAAAGAGCCTACCGGCGCAGAAAATCTGGTCTATGAAATCTGTTGTACCGAATAGGACCGGCATGGACGTCAGGAGAGGAGTGTGGTGCACGAGTGAAAAGAACATGCTATCGGGTTTATTCGACACAACAACACTATACTATGCGAGTATATTGTACAGACCCAAAATCGGTCTAGATCATTCCAAGTGCGGCCATAATCATTGCATGGCGCGCCAGATTGATAATACCGTGTACCGCACTAAGCATATAAATGAAGGATGCCATTGTGAGCATATCGCTGTCGATACAAGCTTGATGGTGCCGATTCTTGAGCGAGGACATATTCCTTGCGTCGACATTGTTGAGCTGGAGGGTCATGTTGAACTGCGCGTCGTAGACAGCGTTGGTGAGGTACGAGACTATGTTGCGATTTCACATGTCTGGTCCGATGGTCTAGGCAATGCGCAGAACAATTCCCTGCCTCTGTGTCAATTAAATCGCTTGTCGGCTTACATTGCTTCGCTCACTCATACTTCAACGAAAAGTCTTCTATGGATTGACACTCTCTGTGTTCCTCTCGTACGAGTCATACGCAGAGACCGCGATCTCGCACTAGCATTATTGGGAGATGTTTACGAGAAAGCGAGCATTGTCCTGGTGCTGGACGATGGACTTCTACGCATTCCATCTCGAAACACTAGCATGGAAGAGAAACTGCTCCGTTTATGTCTCTCGGGATGGATGCGGCGCCTCTGGACATTGAAAGAGGGCGTACTCGGGGGATCCAGAACACGGTTCCAATTTCTGGACGAAGCCGTTGGGTTACCGTCTACCATTACATCATATTACAGTACTATAGGCTGTAACGTTACGGCATTCGTTCAAAGATATCTTCCGACCCATATCAAACTGCAAGCACAACCTCTTGTCAACACAGCACTTGATGCCAAAGGGAGACCGAATGCAGCGATCATGAATCTTCTCATCGCTCTTCAGTACCGCACTACCAGTCGATTGACGGATGAGACACTTTGCACAGCGTCGTTGATCGGGGAGGATGTCGACACCTTGGTTCCTCTCGCGTCACCTGAAGCTAAAATGGTTGGCTTCATTTCCTTGTTGCGCAAAAGTAATGTCGGAATGCCTTTACATATCTTGTTCTGTGGCGGAGAGAAGTTGCAGATCGACAACTTTAGGTGGGCGCCAAAATCATTCTTGCAAATGGGGACTGTTGACGGGCAGTGGTTGTTTGACAGCTTCGAGAAAAGTGCTGCTGCACAAATTGTTGAGAATGGCTTGGTATGCCGTTGTGCGGGATTCACCTTTGACATGAATGGAACATGGGGAGACCGTCTTGGAATTCGGCTTCAGAACGAAGCATGGTGTAGGGTTATGCCCCGGAGTGACAAAGATAGTATTGAAGTCACTGAAGATTGGAAAGAGATAGGTTTGAAATCGAGCTTGAAATCACGTATGGCTGTCGTGCTTTCGACGGAATTCGATCTATTCGGAGTATTAGTGTCCACTCCTGACCATAGCACCTTGGATCTGACAAGTTCCTCTATGATAAAAGCGGATATTTTGTGTAGAGTCTATGTGTTTTGGGATAATGTGGGTGAAGAAGGCCATGGTAACATTGTCTTTCTTGATGGGACGAGGCGACCCGATGACCAGCTTTGGTGTATTGGGTAGTCCCCACAGCTTACTTTCGAAAACATATTCCAGCCTTCAAAAAAGTTTAAATTATACAAGAGCACTCAATCAACCATGAAATCAATGCTTAGCAAGTGCAATTTGGGCTAAGATAAGAAACACACGGAGTGTCCTTTCCATAAAAGTTGTCGATATCTTCCTGCTGATCAATAATATCAGGCCCGATCAATTGATATATACGAAACTCAAGAAGCCTCGTAGCAGCAACATTGCGCGATTTATGATTCGGCTACAATCCATGCTTCTCCTACATGGGAGCCGGTCTTGGGGGAGACGATGCCCATGAAGGTTTGGAGGCTGTGGTTGACGTCATACTTCTTTAATGCGGCGAAGATTTCAAGGAAAATGGGATCTGATGTTGGAACTCGGTCAAATGTGATGTTTTCGTTCTTCTCTGGTGACGTCTAGCTTTCACGCGCCTACGGTCCTCGTCTTCAAGCACGAGTCTGGGGGGCGTCAGGGCATCGTACAGAGTGTATGTTAGAGCATCTTCTCTTTTTACTTAGATCGGCTCTCTTCCCCCTTGAAGCTCGAGAACGAAGCTGAAGTATTCACCATGGACGCTGTCCAGATATTATAGACAGCCTAAAAATAAACGAGTTGATTCTGGCGTTGGATTTCACTCGCTTAAAAAGGCCCTGGTTTTCTGTTGAGAATAGAAGCGCTGTGACTGGCTCCTCCGACACCTCTCATTACGCGCCACAGTCGCGATGACTGACAGGAAGTCTCACAATCTTTCCTTGCATGGTTCAACTACTATAGCTCGAATGGAATTAATTTCTGGCAAGCATTATCTTTGTGTATATATAGAAGTGCTAACATCCATCCTATCGTTTAATAGACTGAGCCGCTCTCTTGCACTTCACATTTTCTGAATGCCAGTCTCAGCCAGAGACAATTACGGAAGAAGTCGCTGTTTTTTATAGACTTTCGTTCACCAGCCATATAGTCTGAGTATATTCAATAACTCGGGGAGATGTCAGAAGTGGTGCATCGGGTAACCGAAGCCGTCAGCAGCGCCTAGAGAGCTATAATACTCAAGTACTTAGTTACACCAACATTGCAGACACTTCTTAGTTTGGCAACATAAGTGGTGTCTATCCAGTAGGGCTTCAGGGTAGCCGGCCTGCTCCAGTAGTACTATCAGTAGCCGAGACCTTGTCAGTCAAGTAACAGCGATCAAAGCCTCCCAATAATAACCGATATCTCAAAATTGCCCACAAACTTGGCACATTAGTTCGCTAATAGCATTCATCACGATGCAGTCAATTATAGAGACGCAGCTGGATTACGGGCTAGTAGATGATCTCGCCAGGTAGGTTGGCTTCTAATCTAATTCTTGCCGCCATCTCGATGCCCTCCAAGACAAATAGACTCCAATAGTCTTTCCCATACTCTCTCCTCCAGTCGTCAGTCGGAAACGCAACCTTGGGGCTCTGCTCCCGCGCCTCCCTCATGGCTTTCAGAGACGCCTCCTCCCACCTCGTACGGCCCGCACCGGGCTCCAGGATTGGGTTGATCCACTTCAGAGCGCCCGTACGGAAGCAAGACAGGTCGTTCTCGCCCGTCTTCAAGTCCAGAGGAAAGGTGGCCGGGTTAAGGGCCATGACAGTATTAAGCAGCGTCCGCCGCGAGCTCAGATTAGTACGGTAGCGCTGCATGCGGAGTCCGATACACGACTTCATCCAGTCTTCGGCACTCCTGTCCGTAGTAATCACGTACGCGTGGAGGAAGATACAAAGGGCGATCCAGAAGCAGATGAAGTACGAGTTCCAGTCCTTAGTTGCGGCCGCGGCCAGCGCCATGGCCCACTGGCCCAGAATCAGCACGCGGAGGCAGGCTCGGAGGACGGGCCGGGCTGCGGGTGCGATGCCCGGCCCCGCCGGCTCGAGTGGGCGGTTAATGAGAGAATTGAGAATGGTGCTTTCGCCATAGAAGGCGGTCCAGTGGGTCGCGTTCATGTGCTCCGCGACCAAGACCAGTCGGTTGTGCCGCTCGAAGGTGGTGGGATCGGTGACGAGCAGGCGGCGGGGGCTGCTCCCATAGAGGGCAAAAAGGACCGCGCCGGTCGCTGGGATGGTGAGCAGGAAGGCGAGGGCGATGTACGTGCGGAGGATGGCGCTCATAACGATCGTGCCCAGCAGGACCACCCAGCCGATGGCAGCGGTGGCCAGATAGCGGGCTGAGTACATGCGCCAGTGCTCTAGCAGGACAAAGCGCAGCCAGGACGAGGACGGTGCGGGCAGCGCAGACGGCAGCCGCGAGATGTGCACGACGTCGAGCCTCTGGACCCGCAGGCTGTCGCCCTGCATGTTGGCGTGCGGGTTCGCAATGGTGCGTGGTGGAGAGGCGCGGAGGCACAGGCGGAGGGTCTCGGGGTTGGCCACGACGTAGGCGGCCCCGTACAGGCCGTCCAGGCCGTGGAGGGCGATGCTGTTGCCGTGATGGTCCAGGAAGCATCTCTGTTGCAGGGCCTCATCCTCGGACAGCAGCAGCCGGCTGCCGGCCGGTGTGATGGGCCAGCTCCATAGCGGCGCCGCGCCGACGAGCTGGAACGCGTGAAGCTTCGGCGGGATCTCGACGAAGTCGATAAGCGCCGACAGCGGGAGGATACCTGCCAGCTCAGGCGTCCAGCGGTTGCGATCCAGGATGCGCTGGAAAGCCGCAACTTCTGCGTCGAGCATGGCACAGTCACGCGGCTGATTGATGAGCTGTGGGTGGGCTGGACTTCATAAACATAAACAGAGCATGGAGACGTCCTGGAGCAAATGTTCAGCTTGCTGTCAGCCCCTGGAAGACCCGACATGATCACCCTAACCTGATCGGGTGCCCTGGTAAGTAAGTCCATGCACCTACTGTACCTGCCCAATACCCAGGCAGCCAATTTAATAAGTAGCGACTATGCTATTCGCTTATCAATAGAACACTGCGTTGGAAGTACGAGGGTGCGGGACGACGCCTGCCCTGTAGATGTTGATTACAGCAGCCTTCAGGGATTATTCAGTTGGCTTATCAATGATTTGCACTCCAATCGATTGATTCTGTTGTAGATCTAGAATAGAAAGATCAAAGTTTGAGCTGCACATCATTTCTCAAACACAGATTTTCACACGTTACGTTCACTTCTGTGCAGGCTGGAAGTTCATCTTGAAATAAACTGGCCCTGTTTTTGACGGTGGCATCTTCTTAACCATAAAAGAGCTGTGCTCTGCTCATCCAAGTGGAAATTCTGTACCTATATCCGATATTGTTGAAGTCGGGAGGGAAAGCTCAAGCTCTAAGTTCTTATTGATCTTGAAAGCCTCTTTCTTAGCCTTCAGGACGTGGATTCTGCCGAATAGCATTTAGGAAATTTTGGCTACTGCTTTTGAAGACGGTCATGCTCCTGGCAGTGCGCACCTCGGAGAGTATCGAGCGACAGCTGTCCGTAAAGCGACCCCACTGCTCACTCCCCTCTGCAACACCGTCATGATCCGCTTCAGAGAATTCGGCAGTCCATTCCCGGCGGCGGTCATTGTCTGGCATGAATCCAGTAATCCAGTCCCATTGACCGACCCCGTGCCTGAATGCAACGCCCGGGAGAGTCGCGATGAACGCCAACGCTGGCCTTCGACCCCCAAATTTGATCGGAGGCAGGCGGGAGACTCGAAAGAGCTGAGGTCCAAGAAACACATCTGGGTTCCGCCAGGGTTCGACGCGTGCCATGAGAAGCATGACTATGTGGCAGGCCAGCCAAGTAAGTGAGCCCCACACTTGCTTCGTGTCATTGTTCAGCATCGACCCGAGCAGAGCTGCTTGTATCAGCAGCACCACAGCTAGCGTGCGTAACAAGAGCGCTACTATCCTCCATCGTTTGATCTTGCCAGGAATATTGGTCAGAGCGTGGAGTTGGGCAGAGTAGCCTACGACCACATCTATCTCTGTTGCGTTCCAGTCCTGGACAACGACATGCGCATCGACGGCGGCCCCGCGAGCCGCTGTAAGCCTGGTATCTTTTTCGATCGCCTTCTCATGAGCGAACACAAAGGCTGTCACATGTTCTATAGAGAGCAGAATCGCGGCGCTTGCGACTTGACAGAGCGATAATAGTCCGCCGACAAAGAGCCCATAGCTTAAGCACACGATCGACGTGCCTATCAATGTGGCAAGTTCGCCAAATATAGCCACCCAGGAGAAAAAGATCTGGTCAGATAGCCGAACCGGGCGTGTGGCAGGTATGAGGTATGTGAGATGGACAAAGGTCTGGCGAGGGGCGAAGGCTGCTTCGTCTGATTCCGTGTGGATCTCGAGCCGCGCAATTATGGATGCTCGACGCAGGATTGCTGTGTTTACCAAAGGAAAGCTATTCCCGTGTCGAAGGCTCGCTACGACTGAGCGACCTCCCTGATCGAAGTCGGATAGCACATCGGACGGTGAGAGGTGCCATATCCTACCGAGATCTCGAATGCAGCCCGTTGTAGGGAGTAGTAATGCTGATTTGCTTGCAATGGCTAGAATTATGGCAGAATTGAGACGCAGGGACTCGGCATAGAGGCTGATTGGGAGGTACGAGACAACAGCGCGGAACGTGGACACCCATTGGGACGGCATTGTTAAGCTAGAATTATCTGGGAAGCCTATAAACGAATCTCAAGTAGATGTTAAGCTTATGGACGGAGATACTCAGATGTCTCATTGCCAAAATCAGAGCCTTTTTGAGAAGACGGTAGTTAATCAGGCTGCCGAGATCTTGGGGCAAGACCTCTCATGCATGAGCCTCGGCGAGGCTGTCTAAACGTGCAAGCATATCAAGAAATGATTGGTCTTCAACACTTGACTAACAGCCTTGTCTTATCTATCTACCTAGTAGTATAGTAGGGCACTGGTTTCATATCTACGTCCAAGTTCCGAAGTGTCCGGTTTGTCGATTATTCCAGCTTAAGATTGATATAAATACGACCCAAACATCTTCCATTAGCTTATCTACGGGGAAATAAATACAAATAATGAGCATCATTCCAAAATAGGACTTAACAGAGACCTTTTAGACTCGTGCAATCATAGGCCGCCACGAAGAGGCAAGAGGTCTTACCCGACATACCACCATTATTGGTCTAGCAGCTTGCCTCCACAGCTGCGTGAAACTCGCTCATCTCCCTGAAAATAGGACACGGTCTCTTCGTCTTCCTCGAGCCTCGATTCTATTACGCTCACATTGGCGCGACAAATGAAGCGGGTTGGCGTTACACTCCGAGCGGTCGGGTCAACCTCAACTGTCCCGTCCATGCCGGCCCCTTCATACGCGTCAACAAATATGGCGTGAATAGAGCCGTGGGCTTTGGGATACCCCTGCAAAATGAGGGTCGGATGTTTAAGTGGCTTTATGTCAACGTCTTTCCACTCCGGCGGACATCGATCGTACCAGCAAACAACCATGAGCCGCGTTTTGGACTTCAAGAATCCCGTCTCGACCCGGAATATCAAATCCAGATTGTCAGGCACGTCTGAGAGAGTGATTCCGGGGAAGCGGACGCGCAAACCTTTGTCAAAGTAGTGACTGATGTTTGTCTGCTCCGTCATCGAGTGGTCACTCGCACCCGGGATGGCGATTTTCTGGAAATGCTGGTACGCGGTCCACTGATAGCGGGCCATAAACGAGGTCGGGGCCCATTTCCAACCATCTTCAGGCAGTCGAGGCCCGGGCATGAATATAATATCGCTAGGGACCCCGTCAACCTGTCCGAGAAAAGCTTTCATCCGTCCAGCTTTCGAATGGCCAAGCAGCTTAGAAGGCTGCTTTCCCGTTAGGATGGACAGGCAGATTGTCTCATCGGATGGATGAGAAGTGCTCCGCCACTGCAAGAGATTACAAAGATGTCTTAACTTCACCCCGGGCGTACACGCTTGAAGCGAGCGAAGGAGGGTGAAGAACTGGTGAGTCTCCAACCACACACTTGAATGGAAGATAGGCATGATCCCGCTGAGCATATCTTCCACATCGAGTGCTCATTCTTTGAATTGGAACCGTAGCTTTGTGGCTAGCAACCCCTCTTGCAGAGTCCACATTCTAGTCATCCACACCGAACTCAAAATCCTTACAAGCGTCTCTTCGGGAGGTGCCATCGAGGATGGTCGCACAAGCTGGTCATCAATAACCAAAACCTTGTCGGCATTGGTATACGTGTCTTGAAGCAAATCGATAGCGACTTTGCGATAGTCTGCATCATCTGTATTGTTCGGTCGAGGCACGCAAACGGTGTCGATCCATAGATAAATTTCTACTCTGGCACTCGAAAAGGGGTACAAGGCCTCGGCAAGTTGGGACAGCCGTCGCATTTGGCAGCTGGGCAACCAATTACCCTTCACGTTGCCCAGACCATGAGCCCAGACGTGAGAGATAGCGACGTATTTGATTCCATCTATGAAGGGGACAACCCCAATGCTGATTGTTCCATCGTCTGCTTCCGAGATTCTCAGAAGGGGAATAGATCCAAGCTTAAGTGACTCGATAACAGCGGTACGTTCTGGGATGGAAGGCTCACAACATGGTTGAGGGTGTACGTGACAGGTGGTATACTTCTTCTCATCGACCGTCATGTGCAAACACTCTCGGACTTCGCAATCTGTGTGATCCTTGCCATCGGAGGGAATCTCCAGGAGGCTGGCGAAGTACATTCCAATAATGGAATACTCTCCTGACGCAAACTGCGCCAGGCTGTGCGGACACCAGTTATCGCTTCTCATGCGTTCATAGAGCATCTCGGATACGCCCCATGACTGATGGGAAATGTGCAGTTGCTTGTATAGCTCTAGCGCAAGATTTTTGTCTGGAAGGACCTGAACAATCCGGCTAATAGCGAAGGCAAGCGTGCAGCCTAGAACCATGAATGATAGCGACGTAACGAGGTCAAACGGCCAACTCCCGCTTCGGACTTCTGTAGGCGTGATCATCGAGCATTCTCGTACAACTAAGCGCTGAGTGGTCGTTGACACACGATTGATCTGCTTCACACTTTCATGCTTAGCCTGGAAATCCTGATTGCGAAATTGATCTTCGAAGGCGCTGATATATCGAACGAGGTTCGTGGAGTCAACCAGGAGCTGGCCATCTTTGCCACGCGTGAAATCGTCCATGTGTATTTCCAATCCAACGGAACCGAATACGGCTTCCATGAGTTTGAAATACAACCACTCCTGGATGAATTCCTGGCTTTCCTTAATTGTATGGCCCTGGCGGAAGTCCCCATCAATGAATGCACTAGGCTTCCATCCTCGACTCTCGGGATAGTCTTCGAAAGAGAGAGCGGACGGACAAGCGAAATCCGCCCTGACGAAACAAACGATATCTGGAGGTGTGTATCTTGGAGATCGAGGAGGTGGTATGTGATCCATCTGAAGTTGTGAAGAAATTCTGCTTCAAAGAGCTAATATGAGGGCTGTTGACAGTAGGTCGCGACCTCGGAATGACGAAGAGATCAGAACGAAGTGGGCAGGAGATCCGAGAAATTGACTCTGTGGTGGGTGTTGTGTTTTAGGTGCCTGAGGCTGCCGTATGCTTGCTTTTGCTACAGGGCTTAAGCCGCCGTAAGCAGCACTGTACGTATGGCATAAGGCTCCTTAGTGATCTCTAGGAGCCGCTGGGGGAGCCTAGAAAAAGAAGACATATACCAGACCTAGGGGGCCCTAGAAACTTTAAGCCTTACGAGCCCGCTCTCACTAGTCTGCGCGCACAGGGCATTTTAGGTATATTTCAAATTAGAAACCTTTAAATTCCTAGAAAATAAATTAATGAAATTATACTTTAATTACTTTAGCTCTTAGGCCCTAGATATTGAGTCGTGATTATTTATTCATTATCTCATAATATTTAAGTGTTTTTGTGGAGTTTGGTTTTGGGAAGCCTATAAGCGAGTTTGGGGTGCCTGAATCTGCCTGAAAATTGCCCTGTACGCGCAGACTAGTGAGAACGGGCTCGTTAGGTTATTCACCGCCTATAAACAACAGGAGATCGTTACACATCGAGTTGTTAAATAGAGCGTATCTTAAGCGGTTCTGAGCAGGGGTAACGTAAGGCAGCGAGAACAGCTAACCAAGCCGGAAGATATACTATCTTGGGATTTGCCCGAGACCCCTAAGTCAAAATCTCGATTGTGAGCGATGCTCTATTACGTAAAACTTTCACTTGAGCAAGAAACATTTCTCATGTGGAACCTTGAAAAGTCCTTTCATGTCCTTTTCCTTTCATAACTAGATACTCTGGGGAGACGGGCTGTATCAAGAAAATAGATACTGCCCAAGAGGCGGCTAGCATAAACAATGCTGAGGTAACAAGTGCTTATGCTCAGTCTAAGACCTGATCGGAACTTCCACCAACATAAAGGTAAGGTTGAAAATGAAATGAATATGGGAAACCCCAAACGTTTCTTCCCTGGAAGCGTAAGATTATGAATCAATTAGCCGTCAAGAGGTAAGCCTAAATACAGGAGTAAATTGGTAAACGATCTGGTTATGCACTATTGTGCCATCATTCTTATCCACCTTCAGGCCCAAGTCGGGATTCCAATACGTGCCCACGGAAGGGTGATAGATCTTATCCAAGGTCTCTTGCCGAACCTGTAATTCCGGTAAAATTTTATGCAGGATAACTAATATCTCCAGCCACCCTGTGACAAGCCTAAGATCGCTGCTATTAGTACACCGATATCCGTATTTCTCCAACGTTGGTATCACGCCATCACCTCTAACCATTTCTTCAATGTGTAAGGCGAACTGCACCATGTCATCTGTAAGCCACTGAGAAACTTTGTGATTAAGCAGCCACGACGCAACCTCGAAAAGAATCCAGGCCCGGGGTTCAAAGGTGGGAAATCTCCATTCAAAGGCGCAATCTTGAACCAGCAAGGGAATAGTCCTGAGCATGCGGCGGAAATACCAGTCTTGGGCTTCGTTTCGTGGAACTTGAGGCATGCAAGTCCAGTCAACCCAAGCGTAAGACCATTCTGTCTTTTCTAAATCTTCGTGGAATGACTTCAAGTCTTCACTCTGCGGGTCAGGATGGGTACGTGAACGCCAGTAGTGACTGATGAAGAAACAATCTTTGTTGTTTGCGAATCCGTAGTCTACCGGAAGAAGAATGTACCTCTCGAGGTGCGTCGGGTCCTACTTGGCAAGTTCGGACTGATTCATGAAATGTTCTCGAATCTGGAAAAACCAGTATAGTTGATCGTACTGCAACAATTGCTCGATGCATGAAACGCTGCGTAATCGAGTTGAATGAGTCTCGATGCATTCGCCTTTATTCTCTGCGACGAAGTTGAGGGATTTCCATGCCGCACAGCTTCTCTCAACAAGTGACTGAAATATGGCAGAGTCTGAACAGCCTATACGTAGATAATGTTACTACACAAGCTACCAAGTAAAACATGAAGCTCAAGGGAAGGCTCATTCTATTCGCACTCAACGACGTACTCATCCTGAAGTTGAAAAACTTGTTTCGCTGCTATACCTGGCGTGTTGCATCGATTACCTACTGGCGATGAAGATTATCACGCACAAAAGGCAGCGAAATGGGCGGTGAAGGGAAACACGCCTAAGTGTGGCGTCGCGTTTGGCCTCACCGGATGGGCCGGCGAAAAGCTGCATATTAATAGTGGTTCGTCTTTCTACGTACTCGATTTCCCGTGCACGTGCACCACCCTGCTCCGTGCACCAGAGCCCCATCAAATTTTCTCGCACTCTACCCTTACTTCAAAAATTTATTATTAAATAACCACATAATTAATTAGCTTGCAATTAAAAACAGAGATAGATTGATAACTAACAAATGAAATTACAACTCAGTTTTTACCCTGCTCAAATATTTTACGTAGTTTTATTGCATAGCCGCGAGAGCTCGCTTTTGCCGGGGTTATAATTACCCCCTCCTCCTGAGTACTACTTACAAAGCATACTTGCTTCTTTGACTTAACTAAAGCTCTTTTCGGCTTCATAGGAGTCTTAGTACAGACTGGTAAAGACTTTAGAGCCTTAGATTTCGGTGCTTCCTTCTGCTTTTGCGCCTTCTTTTGTGCTTTCTCCTTGATCCTTACTTCGTTAATATTATCCTCCCTCACTGTAGCTTATAGAGCCTTCGCTGCCTTCTCAGTATCCTTCCTAGCCTTATTTTCAGCTTGTATAACCTTCTTCGCATTGATCCGAGCCCGTTCTGACTTCTCAAATGCCTCCTTTTTAGCTAGTCTAGCTTATACGAGTCATATATTAGTTATAGAGAAGTATATCGACTTTGTATACTCCTCCCCTAGGACGTTTAGTCTTTCCTCATAAACCTTACTCTTCTTCTCTTCCTTCAAGGCCCCAATTAACCCTTCCTTAGCGTACTAGTTAAGTATAGCTTATGTAAATAGCTCTATGTTTACTTTAAAGAGCTTCTCAAGCTTTAGCTTCGTCGGATTTTTGCAGTAATCAAGCTAGAAGTAACGAATCGATTTCGCTAATTTAGGGGTCTTTACTTTAACCTTAACTAATTATTCGAGTTCAGGAGCTGGCAGAGGAGTAATTAGCGCAGTAATAACTAAAAAAAAATAAGCTGTGGGTTAAAAGGCCAGATACCGGGCTTAGTAAAGGCTTTCTAGATATTCTTGATAGTAAAGCTCTTATCCTAAGCTATACAAAAGAGGTTCAAGAAGTATCTCTTCTTTATTAACGTAAGGCCAAGGCTTTGGGCTTGAAATTTGTTTAGTTCTTGCGAATATGTGAGTAATAAAAGGCCAAAAAGTATGACGTTAAGAGGCTGAAGTCAGTACGTCGAGTAAGGAGGAAGAACGAGAAGAATAATACGCAAATTAAAGTATTTATTAATAAATACTATATTTATATAACTTGAGTATTTATTTATAATCAAGAGACGCTTCGTATAAGGAGAAGAAGACTGAGTTACGGGGTCAAAGACTTATTCTAGTTAGTAAAGGCCATAGTCGTTATTACTTTATTTATTACTTAAAGTACTAAAGAAGAAGTCGTTGTTATCTTACAAATCCTTAACCTAAGTATGCCTCAAGTTATAGTTCTCACTTATATATAAAAGAGTAATAGGAACCCTTAAACTAATTATAAATATATATGTATTAAGAGTAATAAATTCCCTACTTTTATCTTATATAGCTTATTATACTCTTCTTAACTTCTATGCTTATAAGGACATTATCCTCTTTATACTCTATATTATTCTAATTAAGAAGCCCTTCTCGTCCTAGTTATAGATATTATTAGTTGTGAGGCACGTAATAGCAGGGTAATATACAAGTAGTCAAGATAAGTAAGCTGTGGAGTAATGCTTGCAAGTATAACTAATTCCAAGAATTAATTCCAATAAAAGACTAATTAATGCCCCTTTCCAAAGCTAGGAGCGTCTCCCTATATATTCCCTAGTACTTAGCCAAGCCTGCAAAGCACTTTACTTAACTAGGAAACACGATCCCATATAATCCGTATGATTCCGATTACCTATATAATTCCGATTATAAGCTTTACCTAAAATAGGAAACTAGATCTATAATATTTAATACCTGTCTATACGCCATTACGTATACCTATTATATTAATTCCCCCTCTGGGCCCTTATTCCTAAGAGGCCTGAGGGAACTATAAATAGCTTTATAAATAATTCCCTAAAACTTTTCTGGCTATTAGTTCTTTCTAAAGACTTCCCATAATTACCTTATTATTATGCCAGGTAATAAACTTAAGAATATAGTTTACTAACCCTGCCTAGCTAATCCGTAAATTGCCTCTAGTAATTCCCTCTCGTAAAGGTAATATAAGTATAGTATATACTATTAGATAGAAAGCTCTTCCGGTTTTCTAATTAGTTCGTAAATCCTAACTTAGCCTCTATTCGCAAATAAATTATTAATTTATAGGCCCAAGAGCTTGGAAAAATTAATCTAATCTTCTGGTTTATTCGTGAATTTCTTTTTTGGAATTTTCTAGATATTTCTAATATAGAGCTAGTTCCAAATTCATAATTATTATTTAGGGAAAGAATATTATAAAAAGGCCTCTCTTTTCTTACTAACTAATTATCTCTTTCCTTAATTATAATACTATATCTAGCTTCTCTTTATCTCTTGCCTTTTTTCTTTAAGCCTTTTTTAAGCTTCTTTAAGCTTTATTTAAGCTTTATTTAAGTTCTTTTCTAATTTCCTCTTTTACTTCTTTATTTATTAAAATAAATACTTTTCTTAATACTTATTAGCCTATTACTACTCGTTTGGCTAATACTTTTATATCCTTAATTTACTCTTATTATCTTTAATATTCCAAGAATATTACTAAGTTTCCCGACCTTACTTATATTAAAAGTAATAATTACTCGGTATATAATTACTATTACTTTAAAAATAAGAAATATAATTCTATAAATTATAATTTTCTTTATTTATTCCTTATTTTAATATTATTTAAGGTTTTTTAAGTATATATAATATAATTAAACTGCCTTTTTTAAGCTATTAATATATATAAGCGTTTTCTCTATTTCTTGCCTAAAAGAAAAAAGACTATTACTACTTTTTTTCTATACTAAATAGTATATATTTCTTATATTAAAGCTATTATTTAAGGCTAATAGATTTCCTTAATAATTCAAGAAATAGGTTAAGTAATTCTTACTAGCTTAGTATAAATATAAAGTATTCTTAATAATATAATTAATATTCTTTAGTATTAAATAAGCTTATTTCTTTCTTATTTCTTACTAATAGCTAATAGCTTTATAGGCTAATTTATTACCTGTTTTTCGAGAGAATCCTAATAAGAATAATAATAAGAATAATAAAAAGTAATTACGAGAATAGGATATTTATAAAATATAGAAATTAGAGTTTTAAAGTTTTTAATAATTTTTATATGGTTTTTCCAAGAATAAATATATGGTTTTTAATAGTTTTTTAATAAAAGCATTTATTTTTTATATTTTTATTTAGCTAATAGTATTATAATATTACTCTTTTTCAAGTATTCTTATAATTCTTAAGCTATATTCTCTAGATTACTTAGTAATTCCTATATATTATTTACTAGTAAATAGCTTTTCTAATAAATGAGATACTTTTTTTCTTTTCTGTTTTCTTTATAGGCTATAATAGATTTTATCTTGAATTCTTCTTTGCCCTTAATCTTAACTAGTTCTGGTTTTACTATAGTATTAGCTTGCGGGTACTATAGTTCTAAAAAGAAAATATAAAAAATATTATAAATCTAATATAATAATAGTAATTTCAAGTAATATATCTATTTATATATTCCTATAACTTTTAGAACTTTAAAGAGGCCGAGATATCTATTTACTAGCTTTATACTAAGTTATAGCTATTAAATATTCTTTATATAAAGTATAACTTTATTATATATATTAAATTTCTTATTAATATATTTCTTATTATAATACTTTTTCTATATATTTACTACTTCTTATTATTATTTCTTTAGTACTTTCTATTTTACTTAAATTCTTTATATTCTTTTCTATATTACTAATACTTCTCTTTTTAGAATATTATTCTTAATATATAGTTTAATATTAGAATAGAATTCATATAATATATAAAATAAAGAAATTTCTATTATTAAATATATAAAGTTATTATATATGAATTTTATAAAAGTAAGCTTTATTACTTAGTTATTTTACTAGTAGCTAGTATAGTATCTCAAGTACTATTTCAGTATTTAGTTTAGATTCTCTATCTATTTATTAGTTTATAAGTGAAATATTATATTTAGCTATTATTAAATCTTTAAATAAAAGTATAGACTTAACTAGAACTTATTTATAAAAATAAATTCTTTATTAGAGATTATATTTATAGGTATACTAAAGTCTTTAATAATATAATATATAAATAGCTTTACTAACTCAAGAGCCGAGATTTTCTTAGTAATTAGAATATATTATATTATTTTTATATATTTATTAATAATAATAAGTATAGAATTATATATCTTACTATAAAACCTAGAAAGAGATAGCCCTATAATAAAGTCTATAATAATTTCTTACTATAGCTTAGAGAGAAAAGGAAATAAACTAAATATACTATATAGTAAATATTTCTTTACCTTAGTTTATTAATATATAAGGCAAGTTCTAATATAGTCTTTTATATTCTTTTTTATACTTTACTAGAAATACTTTCTCTAGAAAATCTCTAGTATCTTACTAGTACTAAAATACCTATTTATAGAATTATTATAGTTAGCTTATAATAACTTTTTTTTAAGAGCTAGCTTATTTAGTATATAAATAGTACCCTAATATCTTAATAACCCAGATATATTAAGTTCCTAAGTCTTAATAGCTTTAGTAAAGATTTCTTTTAAGAACTATTTATATTACCGGTATTATACTAATAGATTAAGCCTTTAGTACTATAATAGTAATTTAAGTAATATTTCTTTGTCTTTCTCATATACTATTTCGGACCTAGTTACTTATATAGCTAGAATTCGTAGTATATATTATTTATAATTAGTTATACTAGTAATAAGCTCAAGTAATAGTATTTCTGGTATTACTTTATTATTAAAATAGACTTTTCTTTCGGAATTTCTTAGTATCTCGCTAATTAAAAAGTACCTATTTCTTCTTTCTTGGGCCTTGAATTATAGTATTATAGGAATAGTATAATATCTTATTACTACTATTTATATGGCTCTTTATTCTATATTTTATAGCTTATTATAAAATATAAGTAGTAAAGTATTTTTATTTATATTTACTATAAAGTCTGGCCTTTTTAATAGCCTATTAGCAGGATTACTATATTCCGGCTAGTATTTTAAAATAAAGTTAAAGATAGCTAGCTTCTTTACTTATCTTATTTATTAACTATTTAGTTTTCTCTTAATTATAAAATATTTTAAGTTATTATAATTTATCTTAATAATAATAGTATACTAGATATATATTAGATAATACTACTAAATATAAAATATTAGAATAATAGCCAAGAGCTTAGAATTATATATCTTATACTTATTCTTAATTATAGTTATTTTCTTTAAATAAAAAGTAATAGAATATTACCTAGCTTCTATTTTCTTACTAAAAAACTAGGAAATTATACTTATAATTATAAATCCTAAAGTATTTGTTTTTATATAAATCTTTAAGGCTAGGTTAAAATAATAAAGAATTAGTACTATTATAAATATAATTTATAGCTTCTTAAAAGCCCTATTTGCCTTATTTATCTAGCTAAAATAATATTATAGGTTTCTACTAGTTTTTAATAAATTAGTTAATTTTTTTATTACCCTAAAATATTTATAAATAAATCTCTAGTAAAAGTTAGTAAAACCTAGAAATACTTAAACTTCTCAGATATTATTTTTTGAGGCCGGCTATTTTCTAATAGCTATAATTTTACTAGCTTTTATTTCTATATTATCTGGGCTAATTATAAACCCTAGAAATTCTATTCTTTTTATATTAAACTCGCATTTTACTAAGTTTATAAAAAGCTAGTATTATTATAGCTACTCGAGTATATATTAGACTATTATTATATACTATTCTAGATTCTCTAAATAAATCAGAATATTATCTAGATAGATTATATAAATAATATTTACGAGACTTACTAGTATATAGTTAATATATATCTGAAATATTACTAGAGTATTAAATAGTCTAAAGAATATAATATAGTATTTAAAATATTTATAATTTATTTAGAATACTATTTTTTACTTATTATTCTCTCGTATTTATAACTAATAATAAATATTTTTTAAGTCTAGCTTTATATATATCTTTACTTTATAAAGCCTATTTATAATCTTACTAATAAGTAATAATAGTATTTAATTCTTAATAGTAATCCTATTTAGACTCCGGTAATTAATATATAAATATAGGCCATTTTCTTTTTTTAGAACAAATATAATTAGAGTACTAGCTAGGCTAGTAAAATAATAAATCTATTTCTTTTCTAGGCTAGTATTAAGATATTCCTAAAGAACTTTAAGCTTTCTTTCTAATAAAGTATATATAGGACTATATAGTAATTAGAACCCTAGTTTCAGATCTATATAATACTTTATTATATAATAATCGGGTAATATATCTATAGTTTCTATAAAAAATACTTAAAAAAAGTTCTAATACTTCTTGGGAAATATAATTATCTTATTAGTAATAATAATAGTAATTCTTTAGCTATTTATTATAGAATAGGTAATTAATAAAAAAACATATATCTTATACTTTATTATTTTAGTAAATTTCCTAGTATTTAGAACTTTAATTTTTTATAATTAAATCTAGTATTTCTATATTATTTTCCTAAAAGAAATTAGGGAATTAATCTAGTAAAGCTATAGGAATTCAAGTATTATATTAATATAATTTAGATTAAAATTATATAATATAAAGTATATATTAGCCTTTCTTTAATTCTCTAGTATATTCTTAGTAATAATCTCAAGAATATAATTTCTATATAAATAGATTTTTCTTTTTTCTAGTAAGAATAAAGAAATTATTCTTAATATTAATAAAATATCTATATCTAAAGCTAATTTCTTCTTTATATAATTAGCCTCTATACTCGAGTTTACTAATATTTTAATTCTTTACTTATTTTTCCTTATCTTAATAATAACCTTAATTATTATTCTTATTTTAGAAGCCTTATTCTTTATAATATAAATAAGTATAACTATTATAAGGCGTGCCCGTTTCCCGGCTTCTTTAGTTCTAAGTACTTATATAATTTATGGCTAGACTTATTATAATTATAGTAAGTTAGTTTCTTTTAATTAGAATAAGTAATAATATAGTAATTCTTTTTCTAGTAAGTAAAGCAAATTATATTTAGTTTTATAGATCCTAATACGAGTATTATATTAGACCCTATTACTATACCTTTATTATCCCGGTTTTATAAACCTTATAATAGGAATATATTTTTCTTTTATTTATTTTTATTTTTATATTTTTCTCTTATTTCTTTTCTTTTATTATCTTATTAGCTTATTATTATATTCCCGTTAAGTAAATAGATTCAAATTATTCTTAATTCTTATAATAATAAAAATAAGCTTTTTTTTCTCTTATAAAGTATTTCCTTAATAATTAATCTTATCTCGGATCTCTTGCCTTAAATTACTAAATAAGTTATCTCGCTCTTATAGTAAACCCGTATATCCTAAGTTATTTAATAGGCTATTTAAGTAAGATATAAAGCTTTAGATATTCTGGCCTAGCTATTATTTAGTATTCTTAAACTTAGTAAGGGCATTATTACTATAATTTTCCGGATCCAAGATAGAATTCTTTATAAATTTAATAAAGGTCTTCTAATCCGTAGTATTAATATCTACTAATTACTTCCTATATTTCTAGATATCCCTGGCTATATCCTCAAAATAGGAAGTATAATATATAACCTTTACTATATTAGTAGCCTAGATAATTCTATTATCTTTATACTACTTTAACTTTACTTAATAAAAGAAGTCCTGGGCTTCTTTAATACTTTTTTCCCGGTAAGTAGGCAGTTCTCGGGTTTTTAGAGCTCTCTAAACTAAGGGTATTACTAGAAATATAATAGGTTCTATACCGGATATCTAAATATCTTTAAGATAATAGATCTGAGCTTCTAGCTTCTTTAGATCTTTTTTCTATTATATCTCTATTTCTAACTTAGTAATATAATAGTAAGCCGCTACTAATTTCTCTATTATTATTATCTTACCTACTAGTTCTAGGGGTATCTGAGTTCTACTTTCTTTTCCTAATTAGGTAGTACGAAGAGTACTTAACTAGGCGTTTCCCTGAGTGCCTGGTTAGATTACTCTAGTAATAGTAAAGGCACTTTTCCTAGTTAATACTCTAGCTATTAATATTTTGTCTATTAATAGCTTGACTATCTCGTAATAAACTACTTTCTAAAGGTTAGATTAATTAAAATATAGGGTATATAATAGTAGGATAATATATAAGTAGTTAAGGTAAGTAAGCTATAGAGTAATACTTACAAGTATAACTAATTCCAAGAATTAATTCTAATAAAAAACTAATTAATACCTCTTTCTAAAGCTAGGAGCATCTCCCTATATATTCCCTAGTACTTAGCCAAGCCTGTAAAGTACTTTACTTAACTAGGAAATACGATCCCATATAATTCGTATAATTCCGATTACCCGTATAATTCTAATTACAAGCTTTATCTAAAATAAGAAACTAGATTCACGATATCTAATACCTGTTTATATACTATTATATATACCTATTATATTAGTAGTAATTTAATTATCTTTAATAGCTTGGTATAATTAGAGTAAAATATGTATTAGTAAGTACTTTATATAATATATAAGAAAGCAATATAAAAAAGTACTTAACTAGATTATAAAACAGTTTATAAATAAGGCCGAATTCGCCCTTAATATATAAATACTTAATATTATATAAGTATAAGCTTTTTAGCTTACTCTAGTATTATTAATAAAAATTAGAAACTTAGTTCTTTCTTATAATACGTCTAATTATCTCTTTTATAAAGTTCTTTACTATCTAGCTTATTAGGGGAATAGAATATATAGTAAAGTTATTAATCTGCTTAATAAGGAGATACTCTTGTTTATTAATAAGGTTCTAATTAACTTCAGACTAAAAATCAGCTCTTGAGCAAGTCTAGCCTTTTATTGCATTAAATGCTAGTATATGTAATATAATATTAATAATAGAGAGCTAAAGGCTCGGATGTACTCAGTAAACTAAGTAAGTATAGGTCACGTGAGATCAACACGTGACACCTTTCCAGTAACGTATAATAATTATATGGACGAGTTCGAACTCTTTAGTAATCTGGCAATAATTTATAACCCCTCGCGCGTTAATTGCGGCCAGCGCGGCCTTTATAGCTTATTTGTTGACTATTTTGTAGTTGTAGAAAGTCGGTGAAGTGTGGGCGTGGAAGATGGTGCATTTAAGCGGGTGGTGCACGTGCACGGGATCTCGAGTAAGCACTCGCTTATCGATGCTTACAAAGAACGACCAACCGACTGTCAACCCTACAACCAAACACATAGTCCCTAGTCCGGATTGAGTTACGCTACTGCCCTAATTTATTACATAATACACTTCTTACCCGTCGCCATTGTCGCACGTGAGTAGATCTTTATCACGATAGCTCTGGAAGCATCCCACTGTGCGCCTGTCCTCCGGCATAGCTCGGCGTTTGACTGTCTCAATCTTCAATATTGTGCGAAGGCTGCTCATGCCCTCGCAATTTGATTCATACCTCGAGTCTTCTGCAAATTTAACCCCTTCCTGTTTCTTCAGCGAGCCTTAGCACATCCCTCGATGGATCACCTCGAGTTACCCAGAAATTCTAAGCACCCGCCGATATATATACCCCTAGTTGCACGTGAGAATTATGATGGAGGGAACCTTGAGTCGTACCCGCAACGGGTGGGGTGGAGTGATGCCGATGTGACTGGATCGAATGGCTGTACGAAGTCAAAAGATGAGCGTGCATCATTTATCCAGACATGGCTCTTCTTTGGCCTCCTCAGCAAAATATTCGGAGGGGATTTTAAGCAAGACGACTGGATCACCCATACAGGCGCGGACCATCCGGTAATCAAAACACGAAATATTGAGGATCACCTCAAGGAGTTGGAGCTGAATTTCAAAGTCGGAACTACCTCCGACGAAGATGGCAGCGTGTCCGAACCGGCTGCTATCGAATTAGAACAGACCATCTTCGCGCTATCCATTGAATTGGGAGCACAGCCCTATCTACGTGCACCTCATTGTACCCCGGAGATAGAGAACGTTCTTTTCCAGACACACAACTGGAACTTGCGTATTCTTCGGCATAGTCTGTACAACTCCGACCTTGACCTTGTCTGTCTATCAATTGCTGCACTTGGAGAGAAATTGTGTACACATTTCGGTATTTTAGACGATTGCATGTGGCTGAGAGGCTCCGACAACAATCTCATATTCCAGCGAATGCTCGACGACGGATGGTGTCCGCTCGAGATAATTCGACTCCGTGAAGTATTGATTGTCAGCGATCTCTACTATATTAGCAACATGGATCGTCCAGGGCCGACCAGATGTCACCAAGAATGTCGCGAGCACATTCCCCTTGAGCGAGTCGATGACCAAACAGTATTTCCGAAGGACTCGTTGCAGTCAATGAAATGCACAGCATACCACATGGACTGGGAGAATTACCGCACTCAACATGTTGAGGGATGTGATGACTGTGGCGACCTCGTCGCTGATGGCCAGCTCCTTGACAATATTCTTCAAGGTGGCTTTTTCCCTCTTCTTCTTCCAGCGGCTCACGCTATAGACAGAAGTTTGGGCGGAACACCACCAGGGAAAGCGGCTAGCTCAAAAGTGCGTACCGGTGACCTCCGGATCGTATCTTCCGAGACTCACCGCAAGTACGTCTGCATTTCACATGTATGGTCCGATGGGCTTGGCAACCCTCACGCAAATGCTTTCCCAACGTGTCAATACGCCAGAGTATCCGACATGTTGAAAAAACTCTACCCTGGAGAAGAGGTACCATTTTGGATCGATACAATTTGTGTACCACGTGAGCCTAGACAACTTCGACGAAAAGCAATTATGCTCATGCGCAAGACGTACCGGGATGCTGACAGCGTCTTGGTTTTGGACTCTTATCTTGCGAACGTGGACCTCGACATGATACCGAGGAGAGAAGCATGGTTACGATTCCTGAGCTGCGGCTGGAACAGACGGCTGTGGACATTGCAAGAGAGCGCCATGGCAAAGACAGTCTATCTTCGATTCTCAGATGGATTCCTCAATCTGGACAAATGTCTGACCTTCAAGCTACCATCACGAGATACTCTGATGTTATTGTGGCACGCGATCCGAGGCGCATGGAGGCGCTGGTCAGAAGATTTACCAGATTGGGAGGAAAGTCTCCTCAGCACTCTATCAGACTCCGTGGCGTGGAGATCCACGAGTATTCTGGCGGATGAGGCCATATGTCTGGGCAATCTTACTGATATCGAAGATTCAGTCATGGAACAGATTCTTCTTCTAGACTCCCACGAGGAGCGGATGGTCAAATTCTGGGAAGCTCAGAAAAAGATAACTACAGAAGTCTTATTCTGGGGAGGACCGAGACTGCCACAGTTCCCAATGAGATGGGCACCTTTGAGTTTCCTCGACGGCTACGATACACCGTACATGACAAGCCAGACAAACACTTTCGTTCCCGCCTTTCTAAATGAATGGGGGCTTAAATTCAAATTGCCCGGCATGATCCTGGGATCTTGGCGGACGAATTTGTGGACCTCGTCACTCCTTCGGACACAGAACAAGCGCTGGTACGCCATGACGAAATATAACGACAAAGTCGCGAAAGTTAATGAGGAAAACGCCCTCCTCGCTGTTATATTCCAGGAACCCGATGAATCTTTTCTGGAGGGCCTTCCCGTGGGAGCAGCCATGCCTGGGGTTTTGGTTTCTCTCTCAGAGAAAAACTACGACGTAGATTGTATTTTTGCAAAGTACGAGAGCTTGGTTACAATTGAAAAGGCATCCCGTCACAGGGGATGGATTGATCCTCTAGAGAAGATGGTTTCACGGTTCAACGACTTCTACAGGCCGGAGTTGTCTGGGTCAAGCATTGAGATGGATGGGACGAAACTCGGACACTATAATGATAATTCTACAACCGAGAGCGACATTGCAGTCCACTGGCACGACGACCGGTTGTCGTTAGATCTGGGCGAGAAGCATCTAATGTTTGAAGTATCCGAGCTATCCTCTGACCAAGACTGGTGCGTAGGTTAGTGGACACGTCGAAATTTCAAAGGCATCGCTACAAACCTTAAGTTCTAAGGGGTAAATTTGAAACTACACTCATACAACCTATTGAGACAATATAGGCCTGTCTATGTGCCACCAATATGATGAAGCAGTGAGAACTGTATAGGAAATTTGTCAAGCCATCTGGCTGCAATCATGGACTTATTCAAGGGATGTTTTAGCTGATCAATTTGTCGATAGAGAGATCTGATTTCTTATTATGAGGTCGTGCTGCGGGATTGATAGCCGACTTTGGCCTACCCGCCTTTTACGGACCTTTCGCTGGGATTTTTCGTTCGACCCGCGCTCAGTCCCGAGCGGCGCTATTAATTTCCGGCACCATTGCAATGTTATTATGTAGACATTAGAACCCGGATCACGTCTACGGCTATTCCTTCTGGGATCTGCCATCCTATCCTGCGCCATGAACTTCGCAAACGCAAATTAACAGAAGCGATTTATTAATCTAACTAGCGCAAAACGAAATGCTTTAGAAAACAGAGGTCCAAGCCTTAAGTTTCCGTAGTATTTCAGTCCGTCCTCGCTATCCTATACACCAAGTCCCTATCTCAAAATACTCGCCAAAACAATGAACTTCTGTTTGATCTCTCCCTTGCCCAGAGCTTCGGGTTACTCTTTCTATTAGAGCAACATGATGAGCAAAGTTGCATTCCTCTTCTTTCCTAGTATGTCAAAAAATAATCAAGGCTAATTAATTATAATTAAGTATGATTTGATTAGCTTGATTTTTATTATAATTAATTATAATTAATTATAATTATCACGTGATAATATAAAAGTATATATTCTTAGGTATTTCTAAAAATTATTAAATAACTAATAGCTATATTAATAAAATATAAATAAAATTTATAAAGCATATATAAGAGTATAAAATTAGTCTAAATCTAAAATAACAAACTAGTTTTTGTTATGTGGTACCAGTTACGTAGTGCTGTTGCACGTGACTTAGTATGTGGCTAGTGCTTCCTTAGCCTGGCAGATAGCCTTTAGCTCAATTCAAGCTCTTTACTACTACTATAATACTGGAAATTAAGGAGGTTCTAGTGCCTTTGGCTTCGCTTACTAATTAGTACTAGGCCTGATTTAGTAAAGAGCGCCTTTAGTAATACCGAATACGGCTAGCCCAGATCTTATTTTAGCCTTATCTCGGCTTCCGAAGCTCTAGAGTCATATGCGTAATCACGTGATAAATCTATTTAATTATCTTTGATTATAATTAAGTATAATTTAATTAGCTTGATTTTGACTTGATTTGATTTGAGTAGGGGGATCTAATTAAATTAAACCTAATTATTTAATATATTGCTCTTTCCTATACTTCTCGACTAATACTTCCTTTTCTTGGATCAGAATTGCTAGGTTTTCAATGGCCCCGGCTTTTACGAGACCGGCCTATAATAACTCCCGGTTATTGAAATCCGAACTAATAATTTTTCGAAATCTCAATTACTACTAACCTCGTTACTAAGGATTAATATTATTGCTAGCTTTATTAAGTATATATATCACGAGAGTATTATTAGTAGACCTAGTCTTATTACTATTATATACGTTTGTTATATTTAGAGTCTCATAATTATAAGATAGTTAACTGAGTTTAAAACCTGGAAGTTAAATAATAAGACCTCTATCTATTACTATTTCACGTTTCTAATAGCTTCTGTACTTAAATACTTTGAAATCTAATTCTTTATATAGAATTAATTAAGGTGCCTATTTCTATCTATTATATTAAAGTTATAGAGAATTCCAGAAAATAATTAGTATAGGAACTTTGCCTATTTATTAATATAAAAGCTTTGACCTATTTCTGAATATCTATATCAAAATATACTAAGAATAGAGCAAATATATTTCCAAGAGTTCAGATAAACCAGGAAATCTTTCTGCTTCTATAGTATTAGTTTAATTACCAAGAGACCCTTTATTTCTGTTTATAATAGCAGGCTCAAGTATATTATCTCGTTTTCTATTTTAATAGTTATTCTTTCTTTAAAACCTTTATAAACATCGAGAAATAATTCATATGAGCCATAACCCTAAATATTTCCCGTAAAATTATTCTTGCTCCTTGTATTAGAAAGATACGAGTAGCCCTAGCTACGGATTCTATTAATTATAGCCATATTATAATTAGCTATAAGACTCGGCATATATATAAAGATCTGATTTCAGAGATCTTTGTCTATAGAGGTCTCTTTTATGTCTAGCCCTGCTTTTCTAAGCTAAGGTAACTATTTCGCTTTTAACTTTTCTAAAGATATATTTTATTATATTATTTAAACTATATATTAATAGAGCTCTTCCTTTTTAGCGTCTTTAAAAGAGCTCTTTATTAATATCTCGATTATATATTTGAAGGCTTAATATATTACTACTACTATAATTAAATATCTTAATAAGGGATTCTCTAATAAATAATACTTATTATATCTACCTAAGAGGTTTAAAAATAATTAAAAGTTATTATTTAGTTTAGCCAATTATTACAGGTTAGTAAGAAGTATAAGTTTGTTCTTAAACTAGAAGTAAACTTATCGGGCTAGCCTTTCTTCCTATAGTATCTATACCCGTATTAATTATAGATAGTATCTAATATGTATATTTATCTTTATTTAAGATATATTATTATAACTCACTACTTATAAAGAGCTATCTAGAATAAGGACTTTATCTATTACTCTATAAATATTAGCTATTTATACTAGAGCTAGCTGTTTTATAATATTAAATATAGAACTATTAGGAATATAAAGAGTATTTATCTAAAATATAATAGAAAAATCTACTAAATTATAAAGACTATTAATGTGAGGCACGTAATAGCAGGGTGATGCACAAGTAGTCAAGGTAAGTAAGCTGCGGAGTGACGCTTGCAAGTGTAACTGATTCCAAGAATTGATTCCAACAAGAGACTAATCGATGCCCCTTCCAAAGCTAGGAGCGTCTCCCTATATATTCCCTAGTGCTTAGCCAGGCATGCGAAGCCCTTTACTTAATTAGGAAATCCCATGCGATCCATACGATTCCGATCGCAAGCTGTACCCAAAATAGGAAACTAGATCCACGACATCTGACACCTGTCCATGCGCCATCACGTGTGCCCATCACAATTAACTAGATTCTAAATATATATAAATATATATCTAGTAAGCTAATTGCCTTTATTATTACTCTGGCTATCTAACTAGATATAACTTATAGTAATATAATTAGCTTAAAAAGGTCTATTAAGACTAAAAACAGAAACTTTTAATACGGTTACTAGATTTAAATCTAATAAGGCAGTAGTAACTAGTAGAACTTAATTATTATTAATAATCTTTATAATCTTATTTAGTAAGGGTCTAACTTTCTTATTATATATATAATTACCTAAATATATAGTTTTATAGATAGTAAAATTAATCTAAAGGGCCTAATATTTACCTTGCTTAGTATATACCAAATACTTCTTCCTAAAAAAATTTTTGTCTAATTATAGTAAGATAAAATAAATACGTTAAATTATACTACCTTTTTAATATTAATATCTCTCTAATATACTAGTTATACTCCAATGCCTTTTTAATTAATAGTAATTACTATTTGAATATTATGAGTTCAAAGGTTCCAGACTCCTTATATATAATAATAATTTCGCATATATAGCAGAGATATTTACTAAAAGTTATAAGAAATAGGACTAGGGCATTTATTACTAGGAACTATATATTTTTACTAGGCGCGACCTTTAGCAAAATAGTAATAATATTTAGTATACTATTTATAAGTCACAGGTAGCTATTAATATCCCTTACGTGAAATACTAGAGCTTCCCTATTCTTATAATATCTTATAGCTATCTAGTATAATATATATTTATTAAGTATTTCCGTATATACTATCCGGTATTCTAATATATTAGTTCTAATAAAGTTCTTATATTTGTATTAAGTTATAGGCCCGCCGAATATTTTGGTTAAAAGACCAAAGAATAACTAGGACTAAAGTAATTTATAGGAAAGAATCCGCTTACTGGAATAAAGTTCTAGCTTCTCGAGATTATATCCGAGGCTATAAGGAAAGTTCCTGAAGTCTTGGAAGCCGAGTAGTTCTTCCGAGTAAGTAATACTAGAGTTATAGATCGGAATTCTAACCATATATAAATAGTTATGTGTTTTCGGGATATAATCCATAATCGGCTTAAATATGGTAAGAGCGTGGAATTTAGCAAAGCAAAGTTATAAGATATGAGGTTACGAAAGACAACCATATTACATTGTTTTTAATTCTACTATAATAGGCTCGCTTGCAAATATTTTAGAAGGGATTCACCTCTCAACTGCCTATACCAACCCCATCAAATTTTTCTCGATTTTCAAAGTCCTTAGAAAATTATAAAAACTTCACAGTTTATAGAGAATACTCGGAATATTGCGAATATCGTATTCTTTCTTCAAAGGTGTGGCGTTAAGGCTTTCAAATTTTTAAGTTAAGCGATTAAGGGGTGAATTCTTCTAGCGTGGTACTAACCCTAACATTCATTATTGCTCTTTTAATAGTGCCCACATAATCGAACCAGCTACGAGGAAAACCCGCACTAGCCCACGAATGCTTTCGTACGCAGGTCCGCCTGATTAATATCTGCACCCATCAAAAGAACGTCTTATAAGAAGTGTAGATGCCGCTACACGCACCCTCCTACCTAATGCCAAGCTATAATACGATATTATAATCTCTTTCTGGTTTGAACCGGTCGAGATATTTGAATGTTTCAATATAGAACACCTGGTCTTTATCCCACAAGGACCGCAGGGCATTGTAACGGCATTAAGAAGTTCGAATTTGGCAACTGATTGGACTCACGAGTTAGACGTAATTCTATTCAAACCACCGCTAACACAATGGCTGGGATTCGCTCACCAAAATCCCGCTGTTTCTTTAGAGTTGGAACTATATGCCCGACGACGCGGATGGAATTATCAAGAGATTTGGCAGGGAAATCTTCGAGAATCTCATGCCTCCTTAGCCAGTCTAGACAGACATTTGATTGCTCATCGAGTCGTCGCCATGCTC